GCCTGTTGAACCGACTGACGGCTTCCTGGTTTAGTAGCCCGCAGTGGTCTGGCAAACGATCCAAATCTCTATCTCTGACGTTCACTCTGCCATACCTAGACACGTGGTACCGAACCAGGCGAGGATTTTCTGGTGTGGCTACCCAATTGTCAAAAGATGACCTCTGCACACCATTGAACACTCGTGTTTCTAGGTTTTCTCCTCTTGTCAGTTAGAATTTGGACACAGGCATACGGCGTCCTTGATGTCCCCTTTTGAAGGGTGTTGGTCCTTTCGTCAGTTGTCTTTCTTAATTCGGAAATATGCTTTGCCTTCCCTGCTCTGCGTCTCCAATTCCCTAGGGCTTAATCAAGTTCTACTATTCATAAGCTTTTTTCAATCTGTAAAACCTCGGTTTGGCTGCTATCCTTATTCGGTCTTGCATGCACGAGTTCGAATGATAATAATTCATCTACCGGATCACTTTCTCCGCCTTCCCGAACGAAAAGCGCTCCTGAGGTCAAATTTTGATTTATCTCTCACTATCATCGGTCACTCTATATTTTTCCGAAACCGGAAAATCGTCAAATTTACTGTCAGGCATTTTAAAGCAATTCTGCTCATTGAGTTGTCATCACGGGTTGGTCTTCAAGTTTTGCGCACATCAACTGCATGGCGGCTCCCTAAAGGCATTGTCGCAATACACTTTCTGATGCCCCTATCCATGATAATACGAAATCTCCTCCCAAACTCTGGCCCCTATGCGCTATGTAGGCTTGGATGCAGCAGCTTTCCATATGTCCTCCTTAATTCTCCTTCCAATACAGGGTCGCCCGCAAGCCGCAAAGGGTTCACCGCGATGTATTGCCACTGTCAAGAATGTGTGTGAATCGAAGGAGTGGCTGATCATATTTCAACCACTGCAGCTTTTCACATACCGCTTCGTCTACGATAAAGCGATTTAATCAGTTCTGCATTGGCAAACACCATAGCACTTGTTATCCTCAAACTATAGGAGACTTCGCCGGAGGCAATCGTTTTTACGTCAATCAAAAGATTTTTTGGCACGCCACCATCTAGCACGTCCGCTGGTTTGGTATTGCAATTGGTTTCTCCAGCTGCATGAAAATCCTGACAGACAGAATCAAGATCGTTGCAACAAAGTGAGGTCCGGGTTACAAAATATCGCAACAAGCACCCAAATTTGTCTGCTGACGTTGTGTCATGTTCTGTGTCATGTTGTGACTTAAGTAAATACTGAGGGTACAGATGGGTTCACATTGCAGGCGTGTTTTCCTCTTTAAAAGCCGCAGAATACAGTTCCTTTTTACAAAATGAAATAGATTTTGGTGAGGACTGAAGCATTTTAAAAAGTTTTTCTTGAATTTCGCATTTGCATTGGCCGTTTTTGGGTGAAGAAAAATTGAGTGTCGGTTATGTGAAACTTGTCTGACCGCAAGTATGTCGTGCCAATGCACACTCGGCTTAGCTCGTTTGGAGAAAATCTGATGAGTAGTGCTTTATCAGAGCATTTTTGGCTGCCGACTTGAGCACAAGAGCTGTGAGTAATTTAAACGTTCGCCTGTGTCACTTTTAGATACACGGAACCGTCCGAAAGCATGAAAACATTACCTTACAGGAAACCATGACCAAGCAACACCGTATATTCCAAAACGCCATGATGGTTGCTGTTTCGCCCTAGGTTTACTTCATCAAGAGGTTAGCTTAGGTTTGGCCAGCTTGGCAGCGCGACTAAGAGCTAAACAAAGAGCACAAATAATCGCTTGACAAAAAACCATAACTACACAACTGGCTCGCGTGCTGATGTGAAGTGCAGTAGCAATATTTACTCCTGAGGCTCTATTTGTGGGGCAAAATTCTCCGGTCGTACAACTATATGGAAACTAGTGTGCATAGGTAAACACTCAGTGACTGACGACTGAAGGCTCACGATGGGTAACAAATTGTTTTGAGAAGTTACCCGTTCCACCCGTTCCACCTGCTATTTTTAACTTAGGGTTTCTACAGTCTGGTGTTAAGCAACCCTACCGGTGATTTCAGAATTTAAACCAAAGGACTTGATAACCTTGAAAACTTATATAAATACTGACAACACTCACCAGGAAACCTTCGAAATACCAGTTAAAGAGAGAAAAACCTCGTATGTATTAATGAGTCGTTCTCAGTTGGTCGAATTGAAGACCCAACTTATCCCGCTTGTAAGTTATGGTCCAAAGCTCTGACCCTCGCAGGTGGTCAACATCTGTATTGGCAGATGCCTGTGTGTGGTCTGTCTGGCGGGATGAAGACAATTCACTTGTGTTTCAAGAGCATCTCCTTCCCATGCATATACGAATTTGAGGAGAAATTTTTCCCGGGTTAGCATTCATGTGGTTTGATCAGCAAATATGAATGGGTTACGGCCCAAGTAACGGAGAAGACCATAAAACCCTTTTTTTAACCATCGTAGCTTTAACACTCCATGGACGTGTCTGCAAGAGGCCAGAGTTGAGCAATACAATTTGGTTGCATAAAAAAAGCAAAGACGCATGCGGAGTAGTTAGGAGAAAGCGTTCCAAGGTTGTAGTATTTTTTTCCGCTTCAGCAAAATTTTTCTGAATACATGATATTAATATCCCGATGATGCGTTTTTCAGTTGTCCTTCTTTATTCACACTGGGGAAAGAACGGCAATTTTTATCCTAAGACCGTTCGTTTAGCAAGCTGAAACACCAAATTCCAAATTGGCTCCGAAGGATTCCTAAGCTTTACTCGAGATCTAAGAGAACCTGAAGTGGTTTAAATTTTGTCTCAGTGCTACTAGCATCAGATGAGAAGCCTGACCTTTATAAAAGGAAGGTCGTGGGGTAAGGCACCGGAGGCATCTTAGTTTGTGGTACGTCTTACCAGACTAAGAAACAGCATCGAGCCAGAGAAAACGGGGGCAGGCTTCTTTCTGTTGATTTGAACGAGACAAATTACGCTCCTTTCGATTTTCGCTTTGCAGGCTCGCTTTTGTATCACTTCTTGTCACTAGAACAGTGCGTAATTTGCCGACCGATTGAGCTGCTAGAGCACTGTCCCGGAAGATACTTTCCGCTGAATGCAATATCCCACCTGAGGGATTTTGGTGAAAACAAAAATCGCTCATTAAAACTCATTCAAGACAAACTAATTTTTGCTCCTATGATAAACACCGAAACTCCGTAAATTTCAGAAAAATATTAAGATTTACCGGATTCTGGGCAATAAATAAATAGTTTACCATGAATGCTTTGTGATCTTTGACGGTATCCACTGAATGCTGAGTCCAAACTCTCATTAATCTGATTCTGGTTTTCTTATGCGTTTGAGGAGCTTTCTAAGGTCCGAAAATATCCCACTTTGCACCTGAAACACAAATGTCTAACTACACAGTAAACAGCCAGTAAAATGTATCCCATCACCGAACGTTTGAAGCTATGCCTGAAATAAAAAACTGTTTGGGTTGGGATAGGAAAAACGACTTTCTCAACCCCAGGCAGTCGTTTGCAGTGTAGATGTGCATGAACCATTTGTGTAACTAACGGAAAAAGCGAATGCACACACGGAATAAGAATTAGTTAATTGTCTCTGTCAAACCCCACGACCGTAGTAATAAGTACTTTATGGTTACATCAAATATTGTGTTCGAGGCTACTTGCCACGCGCACCTTGGAACAGCATAAGAATGTAATTTTTCTCGTAATATATGCATCAAGTCAAAGCCAATTTTGAAATCTTCATGATCGCCAACTAATTAACAGTGTTGATTTGTAAACGAAATGCAACATGGTGCCGAAAATAAAAAAAACAAGCCAAAATAGGATCAGCGCCCATACCAAGAAACGGGCATGGATACAAAAATAAGTGGCATCGATGGAGAAACGCTTGGTTCTGAACTAATACACCCTCTGAATTCTCAAACTTCGTTACACATGAGTTTGCTCTTCCAGGTTGCGAGACTTTGAAGGGTTTTTACCCGAAAAAAGGATGGATGCACTGAATGTCAAACATTTTCTAACTATTCAACAGTTAAACTGCCGAATCGTTTTACCACAATTTTTGTAGCTTGAAATTAGGCGCCGTGATGAAAGTGTTGTACGAGATTATTGTTCCTCAGACAATGGATCCCTGGTGTCACCACCAGCAAAAGCGTACCGATACACTTGCGAATAAATTTCGTTTGACTGGAAAACTTGCCGACATCACGAGCTCTCGGTCGGTAAAACGCCTTGAAATTAAGTACCGGGCTGTGACACCCAAGATCGGGTGCTTTGGATGAGGGTTTGCTGCAAAGTTGCTGTCTATTATTTTGTTTTCTATTTGTTCCTCTGGTAAGCCAGGAATCAGTAAAAAAATCAAAATAAAAACTCAAATTAAAACAAAATGTCAATTTATTTTTGTCCCCGAATATTTGTGGTGCTTTCATCTGGAAATCCGTGAGATTCGACCAGTTTTGTCGTACGGACTGCTTCACGGTTTGGCAATCCTCAAAGGCAATGTAAAAAACGTTTTGGATTCCCGTTTCTATTACACACAGAATTTATTCTATCATCCTGTGCGACTGACCTCATGCCGTAACTTTAGGAAAATTTGGTTTTGGGCATGCGAGATGCTCGAAAAACATCATAGAATACCGGACCGTATTGAAGCAAAAAGGTCATAACTTAAATAAAGGCGTCCGTCAAAATAGACCACTTTTTCCCAACACTCCATCAACTTGGATTGCTTTCTGGCTGACGCCAATGGGGTCAGCTCTCCTCACGTCTCGCATGAATCTGATTATGTATGGAGGGTATTCCAAACGTTTTCGATATCCCGTTTGATTTTCCTCCTGAATGCACGAATACGCCTCACCTGAAGTAGATGCTCAGATTCCGGCATAATCTCATTGATCGCATTTTAGACACTCCATCGTCTTAGAGGTTCCTGTAGATATTGGCAGAGGGACTGTAGTGGGCGGAAGTGCATGAACTCCAAAGTCCGAGCGATGCGACGTTGATGCGAGTAAACATTTCCTGTAATGCCAATGGCTTCCTTTCAAGGAGTACGCCAACCAAGTTTTCTACTCAGGACGTACAAAAGACGTCACCCCCATTGAGCGTGTCCAGAGGGCCACCACTAGAATGGTTGCCGGCCTCAAATCCGTGGACTATGAAACGCGTCTCGCGATGCTTGATCTCTTTCCCCTGGAGAACCGTCGCCTCCGGGGGGACCCAATTCTTACTTACGCCCTGTTTGAACAAAGCTTGGCAAACAGGTTTTTTACCGTTGACCCAGCAAACACCCGGCTGGGACATAGTAAGAAAATTTTCAAGCTCAGGGCACACACATTCACTTTTTTCATACTGAGAACATAAAGAGCAGTGCTACACCCTTTTTTCACTTGTGCCTTTCAGGTGAACGACAGCCACTAACCGACAAGAACAAAACCGACCCGGGAAACGTGGGCAAAATCCTCGACCCTGTGTATCAATCCGTGAATCCGTGAATCCTTTGTTGGGTGACTGGGGAAACACCAAATAGAAATACTGCCGAAATCAGCGACGTCCCCTTTAGGATACTCGGGTGAACCTAAATCCACAGGCCCAACATTTCAAGTGGTGGAATCCAACCGTTTAATTTCAGTCCGTCTAAACCTATATGATCAGACACAATGTTGTTCTACTAGAGTATGTGAGCATCCAACAGCTCTTAGTGTACATCCCCACTGGACTAACTGGAGGGTTATACTATGTATGGAGACAATAAGCTCCTAAACAAAAAGATCTGCTCCAAATTTGATGAATCATTCACTGCACTGTGTTCTAAATTAAAAAGAATTGAATTAGCATTCTTATTTCATCATCCGACTTGCCTTCGGCAAGTGGTAGCCAGAAACCGTAGATTGAACTGAAGTTCACTGTCCCCTTGAGGCGATTGGCGCCAAAGTATGGACAGTCTGGAAGCCAGCGTAAGTTGCTCGCTGTTCGGCCGTTTTCCTAGCTAGGTCGATCGGCAGCTGGTTAATTTTTCTTTAGTTTTTAAGATTTTTTTCATTCACGGTAGGGAAGTAACCTTTACCAATAGTCTTCCCGAATGCTGAAACTTGGAAGCCCCCCACATTAATTATTTCATTTTCGGTCTGTTTCAATTGTATGGGGGCAGGAGACTTTGGACGCTCGTGTCACCTCTGCCTTTGAGATCCGTTGTACAGCACCGGCTAGTCCAGATTTGTAAGAGTGATTTCCCGGGGTTCGCTTCTTGTGTCCGATGTTCTCGCTACTAGTCCATAAGCAGGTATATGGTATCAGCCTGAACACGTTTTTCGAATGCGCCTGAACAACACTGACTAGTAAGCCGCTCCAAAAGTTCGCTACTATGGTGGATGAGCTCATAAATGGAGATGCGCGTTGGGGACATCCCCCACTTAATGGGACGCATCTATTGTTATGAGTAGTCCGCACCGAGCGTTTGCAGACCACTGCAATGTTTTACTTACCCCATGCGGTTGGAGTGAATTAAATTCATCCACATGTGGCGTCATGAGGTTCACGTATTTAACATTGCTATCCAAGAGATCATCGTTATGCACAGCATGTCATCAATGTTCAACACTGCTTCACTGCCATACAACCATGATTTATTTGAGGGCCTTATGGTGAAGAAGAGAACAAAGGTGGACAGGGATGGGACTTAATGCTACCTTTCTACAATCACTTCGAGGTGCCTACGTCTCCAGGCGCTCATTCAGGCGATCTGGATAGGAACTGATAGCGAGAACGCCACTGGCATCGATTAGCAGCCATAACTTGAAATGTCTGCAGCCGAGAACAGTGAAGGTAACGCGGTCCTCGACCTGGAACGCGACTAGCACCGACAGCATTCAAACGTTTCGTAATCTCTTTCGTACCCCTCTGCCAAGTCAAGGGTTGGCCACACCTCTGATTCCACCACTCTGAATTGGCACGGAAAACAGCACTCTTCGGCAAACGATGATTCGGCATACACAGTACATGGCCTCATCAAGGCAGATTGTTGCTGGACACATTCTTCAGTGGAGGTACCAATCGCACATCCGATTGCCTCGTTACGGATTTTCCGACATCAACCTACAAGAGGTGACTCAGTGGTTAGATTGCGAATTTAGTGACCGGAATCTCCATGGTTTGAACCCGACCTCTAACTCTAGACTTCCCCTGCCTAGGCTTGGGCAACCTGGCAATATCCCAGCAATCGTACCTAGCATTGAAAGAGTGCTACACATGAATGATTATTACATTATCATTGACCTGCACGAGCTATGGTCCTGAAACAGCGATTGTCAAACATCTGAAAAGATCTCACTTCGCTGCTCGAACAGGCCAAGTTTCACGTCCATACAACAAAAATGCTCGCACTGTAGCCTGGTACACACAGTCCTTGAGATTCAGAGATATACCGCTTCAATGCCATAGGTGTGTCAAATTAATAAACATGGTCAGAGCCTTACAGATTCGTGCATTACCCTTATCTGTCATATTGCAATCAGAAATAATACAATTTCCAAGGTACGTAAAACGCTCCACAACCTCGAGTACCGCTTGGATTGTAAGTGGCGTTTTTGGTGACTCCATGTCCACGAGCATGAGAAGATCAGCGACGGCTTTAATATCCATTCTTTCTGACTGCACGTAAGTAACCCGTGCTCGCCACAATCAAAGGCTTTGCTGAATTTCGCAAGGGTTGTTCAGGGCTTACCCCTATTCACTTTTTCTTGTTAGCAGTCCAGCTTGTGATGCACGGCACTGACTGCATAAATTGGTGCTGTGCGTAGGATGGGATTTCATTTATATGTGTAACTACCAGTCCATGTACCTACTTCCCTTTGAGTGCTCATTACTGAAGTTCCTCTGACTGGTGTGTATCTGCTGCTGCAGCCTAACCAATTCAGCTCAGTTTCACACTGAAAAGTTACTAATTCCCAATCTTAAGGTGTGCCTCCAACGGCAAACACAGGGGCCAAGATTTCCGCAGGGTGAATGACTCGAGAAATCCTCCACGCGTGTCGATATTGTCTAGTAGGAAGTGTACGGCAGTGAAGCATTGGTTGTACGGCAGTGAAGCATTGGTGTTGAACACTGATGTCATGCTGTCGTTGGTGATGATGATGATGAGTAGGATAGTACCGTCTAGTGCTTGGATGAAAGTTTCACTCGGCGATTAATGCATGAGGTTCTATGGCTGCCGTTTTTGCTAGGCCGTCTCCGAACTCCTTGAAATAAGTTTTCCACAGCAGTACACTGAGTTAAAAGAAATAATCGTTCAGCCTTGACATCTTTTTCGGTGCCAAGCTGCCATGCAACCCGAGGGAACCACGAGGGTTGCGATACTGTCAAGTTGGTCAAGACCAGACAAAAGTAATTGTATGTTGGAGCCTTCAACAGCCATCTTGATCTCTTACGCCGGTTTTGCTGCATTTTACATCATTGGTCACCGGCTTCGCCCAAATTGCGGTGGAAGAATTCCGGATTGGATATTCGAAGTTTCGAGTGCAACGTAGCCCTTGGAAGTTGGATGAAGGAATAAACCGTAGTTCCTCGGTCATATGATAATGGACGAATGCTTTCAAATGACCGCTATATCTTGGTGTTTCTGAGAACTGAAAGATACCAGTGCTGTTTTTGTAAAGAGAGCATCCAGACAAAGTGCATGTCGATTGCCAACGGATCGTGTGCTTTGGGAATATGCCCGACCAATCTGGAATCTTAGATTGTTTTCAAAAGCGTGTGTCATAAGCTTGAAGTCGCCTATCTTTCAAATAGTTTCATGGCTGATACTTGACTCACCGAGGCCTCCCAGGATCATACTTTTAGAAGACTGTACTTGAGGGTTGTCATCAGAGTTATATCTCTACTTCTCGGATTGCGATAGGACACCAAAACAGTGGTATTTGCTTCAGTAGCGGGTCTTAAGGAATTCCGAGAAGCACCAAAGCGTGTAGCGAGTATCGTGCAGATATTCAGTGCTCCCGCTCCACATCCGTTACCTTATTCGTTGAAATGCAGTATGGCGAATCCTCTACCCGTAAGTGTTCTCGTGCTTATCTCCCTATCCTCTATGACGCCGGGACGCGTGTCCGCCACTCACGGCTCAAACTCATTTTTGTTTGTTGTGTATTTGACTTTGGCATTTGTGCTAATGGATATGGGCTCGGTTATAAAGGCCTTCGGGGTGACGGACCTCCTGTGTATTCCGCTCTCCAACCCTCGGAAATTTCGAATGATCGACTCGGTTGCGCCTTGCGCTCTCAGCTCATCGGGTCGATGCAGTGCATTGTGGTGCAAGGTTCTAGGCTTACAGGGTCAGTTTTTGTCTGTTGGCGCTGGACGTCTCTCTGAGTAACCTTGTACGTCATGGAACATAGATAGCCTACACAGTATTTTTCTTTTTCTTATCCCCCGATTTTGGGATTCGCTTGTCTCCGCCTGCTTGAATGTAGCAGCTGCATCTTTATCTGTTTATGTTGATATCAGGCTACCCGTAGACCGCTTATTCGCTCCATTCCCAGTCGGGTAGAGGGCGTTAAATCCGCCCATTCACTTTGAACTTGCACCGGGATGCTGTGGTTGCAGCTGCCACAGCTGCGTTCAGTGGGGATAAGGAGCATAAGAAAATGATAGCCACGCTATGAAGTCGACGGCTCAATCAGTCATTAACATCGGCTTGTTCTGCTTGACATAGCTCAGGGGTTAGGAAATGAACTTAACGACGAGAGAGCCCATGGTTCGAACCAGACATGCGCATCTCAACTACTATTGTGTAGACTGGCAACCTGGATCAATCGATTTCAATTGGTCAGCTACAAGTCATGTACCTTAGGCACACATGTTCCAACTGCTACATTTTCGCTCACCGGAAAGTTGAAACAGCCAATCCTCGGAGGAGATGGCAATGTATACACACCACTGATTATGCTATTAGACCATTTCTGCCATTATTGAGTTGAGTCACTGAGTCGGCATCCAGGTAGATGGTAGTTGTCGGTCCGACTGAGCTTATTGGCTGGTAGGCAACCTGGCCCTATCTCATCCCTTATGCTTCCTTCTGATGGCACGGCATCTGGGGACCGAAAGGTTGTTACAGCTGAGGGATTATTTATTGTTTGTTTATCCGGCGCGAGGCCGGGTGGAGAGGACTCTACGAAGCAAACAGTCCTCTGGTATACGAAGTACAACACCTAACTGGCGTAATCTGTGGAGTGTGACCAGCTGATTTATAGACTCCCGGAAACCATCTAGCGTACTTCAGAATACCTGTCTTGTTTACCCACCAGACTCGTGCAATGCTACGGAAGCACCTGTGGTCAGACACGGGGAGCCTTCGAAGATCTTCCACACGTCTGATACTACACTGATACTACCGTATACTGAACATTTACAGTCAATCTGATGTGTCGACGCCACAAATGTCGGTGGTTGGCAAACCCTGCTCCGGTCCTCTAAATTCTTGAATTGATTT